GAGTCTTCCCACTGCGTGAGTCGACTAGGCTGACGAATTCCACTTCGTCGGATCTCCTCGTTCACCGAGGGCAGATAGCGATTTTAACGTTGCGAACCGAGTACGGCGGAGGACATGGCAGAGGGCGGGGAAGGCCGGTAGTAGTGATTGTAGAAGGTTGATGCCTTAGTCCATTGTGCGGTCTGCATGATGTCTGGGACCTGAACCCCGCGGAGGTGGACGGCGGTGGTAGAGGCGGCACGAGTGGAGTGTGCGGTATGAACCCGGGCGTTTATGCCGGCGTCGCTGAGAACGGACTTGACCCATCGCGCTAAGGTGTCTTTCGAAGCAGGGCGGAAAGGCCTGCGGGTTGTGAGGAATAAAGGACCCGGCGGGTGGCGGTGGGGCGCCGTGAGTGCCACGTATCTCGTCAAGGCCGTCAAGGGGCACCGGAGATCCCATTCGTGAGGTTGTCGAGACGACGGTGGATATACGAGGTCGGCAATCTCGCTTATGCGGGCGGCAGATGTGAGTAATAGGAGGAGCAGCGAGCGGTAGGCGGCGTGAAGCAAGGGCAAAGAATCGGACGCTCCCCACGCGTCCATGTAGCTCAGGAGCTGCTCAACGTCCCAGACGGGCGCAAGGGGCTTTGCGGGTGGCTTCACGTTGAATACCCCTCGCATGAGGCGGCACACAGTAGGATGAGCTCCCATTTTAAACGATTCGATTGGAGTCTAGTTGTACGAGAGGCACGACCGGAAGGAGTTGATAGAGGAGTAAGAATATCCACGCGTGGCCATATCGGCCAGGAAGTTGCACACCTGGTTTACAGGGACTTTAGTGGTAGGAGCACGTCGGAATTCACACCAACGAAGCCAGCGTCTCCAGCAGACAGCGTACGCGGCTTTCGTGCTGTCGCGGATAGCGTGCTCCAGAAAGTAAGCCGCTTCTCGTGACAGGAGATCGGGGCGAGGCGCCCGATCTCCTGCACGCTATTAGCGTTAACTTGCGGGACAGTAGGAGAGGGTGAGGATCTCCCTTCTGGTCGAGGAGGAGGTCTTTGAAGGTCGGCAGCAGAACTGGGCACGCTATGCATCGGCGCAAGAGACCCGTGTAGAAGGGCTGTGTGGGCCAGAAGGGGCAAATTAGCGTGAGTTCGCACGTAGGGGACGAGTCCAAGTAGGCAAGAGTACGGTCGATCAGTTTGAAAGGAGGAAAACCGTAGAGGTTGGACCAGGGGTCCCACCGTGCCAGGAAAGCGTCAATGCTATGTGCGAAAGGGTCGGCGAGCCAAACTAAAATAGAGGGGCACCTTGTAGTTCGAGAAGTCCGCGAAGAGATCAAATTTCGAACGGGCCGTGAGTCATATTGAGTCTGTCAAAGACCGAGCGGTGGAGGGAGAAACTGTGGTTGTCCCAGACTGTACGCGAGAGGGCGTCAGCTATATCGTTATGCACTCCAGGGATGTGTGAGGCTTTAAGGTGAACGTTGCGTTCAAATGCCCACGCCCGAAGTTCGCGGGACAGGCGATCGAGCTTCGGAGATCGCAGGGAGCCGAAGTTGTTGATGCAGTGCATGGCGTTAGTGCTGTCCGTACGTATTGCAATTGTAGTGTCGGACACCTGCCCGGCGAGCGATTGAACTGCTAGGAACACGGCCTTGAGTTCGAGTGCGTTGATATGCAGACGTTTGTCGTCGTACGTCCATGCTCCGCCAGAGGCTCGGCCGTCGGTCCAGGCTCCCCATCCTTCTAGAGAGCTATCGGTGGTGATCTCTAGCGAGACCAACGGAGGCCGGATGGGCCCGGACGCGATATTGTCTAGATTCGCTTCCCACCACAGAAGGTCTACGCGAGTTGCGGTCGGCAGGCGGAGCTGCACGTCTAGAGTATGCGACTGTCGTGTGGTTTCGAAAACTAGTTTCGCGAGCGAGGCACAGTGATAGCGAAGCGATCGCACAATCGTAGTCAGGGCGTTGAGCTTACCAAGAATGCGGTACAGAGCGCGCAGAGTTATGCGAGGGAGAAGGAGGAGGTGGCGAATATCCTCCTTAATCTGAATGCGCTTTCCCAGTGGGACAGACAGACGCATGCAGGAAGCGTCCAGCACGTACCCTAGGTATGTAACCTGACGAGCAGGTTCCAGTGCGGATTTCGCGAAGTTGATTGTATAGCCCAACGATTGTAACAGTGTTGTGGTTCTTAGAACATTGACGGCCAAACGAGAGGGCGAATCCGCGATGAGCAGAAAATCATCGAGATATACGATGAGCGAGATACCTTCCTGGCGCAAGCGCGCTACGACGGGCTTAAGGAGTTTTGTGAATACTCGTGGACTAGTCTTCAGTCCAAAAGGGAGTCGGGACCAGCAGTACATTTGTTCCCGCCAATGAAACGCGAGGAACAGTTGACTGGACTCGTGGACGGGAATAGAGAGGAACGCATCCTGGAGATCAATGCGAGCGAAATAACAGTTTTCGAAGATTGCTTCTCGGATCTCCGTCCATCCTTCCATTTTAAACTTGTTGTCGGGGATGAATTTATTTAGTGGTTTCAGGTTTATAACAGGCCGAAATTTTGAGGTCTTTTTTTTGGCAACTAGGAAAAGGTTGGATATAAACCGAGCCTGGCGCCATCCGATGCGTTTCGGCGCGTTGCGGTCCCGATTGGGACGGCCGTAAGCTTGAAAGCGGGTGGACCTGGAGTTTTCTTCCCCGACCAGCACCTTCTTGCCCTTGCGTAGTCTTTCAACGCTCTTGGCGAATCCCGGCCCGAGCAATGAGGTGCCACGTTCAGTTTTTGTTGGGAATCCGTGAGGATCCTGAGCGTTGGCTCACTGAGAAGGTGCTCAGTCAGTAGGAGTCCACGGTCCAAGAGTTTAGAGTTGGTTCGGCACAGGGTTCAGATGATCTCCGAGGGGCGAGGTCTCGTAGGGAAGATGCTCTCAGGAATGAGGACGCAGGGTTTGCGTGTGAGAGAAGAATCTGTGACTGAGGTTTATTTCGGAGGTGCTTTTATACCATCAGAGCTCCATAGGCTCGTACAGAGGAAATTAGTTCCAGAAAATATAATGGTACAGAGTTAACGATGTTGTGACAGTAAACATAAATAATCAGAGTCTTGG